CCGCTGGGGGGGAGTGAGCGAGCGGCTGTGTGGTGCTTAGTTGCTGGCTGAGGTTAAACCACAGCAAATATATATATATTTTTGGTGTTGTATTTTAATTAGGAAAGTTAATTCTTAGATTACACAGGCTAGCTAAAGGGATCTTATACTTAGTGAGGAAATTCTTTTATCACCCTGAATTTCCTCCTCCATTTTGAGTAGTTAGCCTAAGTAACTACAGTTAAAATGGATTGAAATGTCATTTGTGTGAATGAGGATTCAATAAACTAAAGCTAAGCTTCCATGATTATACCCTCTTTCAATATCAAGAGGCAGACTCCCTGTGGCATTTCATCTAATATGTTTGCAAGGAAAGTGTTTTTCTTTTTACTCTTTATAATTTATATCATTTATAACCATAAGTTTGCATCACAGATGTGGTTTTATAATTGTGTTGCTCACAAGGGGAGAAATTATAAATTCTGGTAAAGAAGATCTGATTGAATTAAGATGCAAGTAAGCAATCTTGCATAGAGCATTATTTGGCTCGGTGCAGGGTCGTAACTGTAGAGTTCCAAACCTAGATGTTTGTACTGTACCTACTCAAACTCAAGCATGTTTTCTTCAAGGAACTCAAATCCTAATGATAAAGCATTAGTTTTTCACCATGGAAATGTGAGGTCTTAGATAATATTAAAAGTAACATTTTTCTTATCAGAAAAAATGATCACAAAAATGAGGAAATGTCTACTTTGTCTTGCAAAATAAATGTACTTATTGGTGCCAAAGTTTTCAGATGTCAAAAGATAATATGAAATATAGCATAGGATGAAATTGTAAAGGAAAAAGTGCAGCTTTATCAGGACAAATTTCAGATGAAGGATCACTTTATAGTTATTTAAAAAAAAAAACAAAAAACAACAAACCCAGCGAACCCAAATGACATAGCTTTTTTGTTGTTGTTGAATATTCTTAGACCGGATGCTCTGAATGATGAGTTCAGTGGAAAATACACTAATGGTGATTGTTTTTTATAAAAAACAATTTTAGTTCCATATTAAACTGTTGAAGACTTCTTAAATATTACAAGTGAAATCCTCGTTTGGCTGAATTGAGTTGCACAGGGGATCACTGTAATTGTGGAACATAAAGATCTTATGGGAAGTTATGTAAGATATTTAAGAGTCTACTGTTCAAGAGGCTGCTATAGTCAGATAACAAGACTTCGAAGAGGCTTGCCTTGGTAGAGCTAGAGCTGTACTTGTTCTCTTGATTAGCGATTTTGGAAACTTGTTCTCAACAGCAAGAGTTTGTGATCTTGCAGAAAGAAGTTTAATATTAAACTGGTGCAGAACCAGTGATTCTTACTGTCTTTTGTTTTTCCTACAGATACCAAAATGCATGGCATTGTGAAAAAGTTAGGTGTGATAGAAAAGATTTTGGCTTACCTTAATGAATGTATACATGTGGATGGCAAGGTAAAACTATTGTTACAAGTTCTTCTGCAAGCATTGCACAGCATGACAGTAGTAGAATTTGCCTCTTTCTGCATTTATAATGCTAATCTTTGTGCATTAATTCTGCACAGAACACGTTTAGTAACAATTGTAACTGCAATATGTGTATTGTTTATTATATTTTTGATAATGCTAAAATTCTCTTAATGGAAGAAGATTGGTTTGCCTACCTATGAGAATAGTTAGCCAGAGAACTGTGTGTGGTGTGGTTCAGAAATATACCAGAACTTCCCTGAAGCTTTCTCAGTAGAGACCAAAAAAAAAAAAAAATTAATGACCTTAAAAAAAAAAAAAAAAAAAAAAAGTGTTAAATTGTATATCATAGTCTTTAAATTTAAGTCCTGTGACGAATTATAATTAAAAATTATGAGATGTTTTTGTAAATGGGAATCTACGTGTCAGATTGAATTTCAGGTATAAGCAATTTTCTGACCAATAGAAAATCACCTCACCAGGGAGAGTCTCAGGAGATAAGATCGCATTTAGAGTTGAGTGTATATTTGTTGTAGATGACCAAGCTTTCCATTTTTGTAATATGTCTAATCTGATGCTTGAATTCTTCTGAAATTCATTATTTGAAAACATCTTATGCAAGCTTATTTAGGCTATAAGTTGCTCAGCATCACTTCACTTTTTGCATATTTCTTAGTTTGCTTGCATAGTGTTGTTACAGCAGTCCAACAGTCCAAACCTTGAGTTATTTTAAGAAACCATGAGAATTTTTATATAGTGATGACTTCTCTCCCAAAAGTGTACAAGAGTAAAGAACTGCTTGATACTTAGTGGAATTCCTCTTATTTGTCAAATTAATGAAAATGGCATTCTTCTTCGGTAATGGTAACATTTTTTTCCAGATTATCAGTATCTAAGATTATTTTATCCCTGGAGCATTAGGGAATGTCTAATCCCGTTTATGATAGCTTGAATATGAGTACTAATGTAAACCACTGAAACCCAGTTGGAGAAATTGAAATATTGAGTTCTTCAGGTTTTTTTACTGTGGGGTTTTTTTTTTTAATGTCAGTTTTTTATTATCTTACCTTTTTTAGAGATACAGAGTAATGCAACTTGTTTTGTTTCATTTTGGATAGTGACTAGGTATTAGCATAATTACTTAATAATACAGAAATACAAGCATGGGAAATATATTGCCTTAAGCAGATCCTTCATAGCCAGGTAAGAGTCTAGGATAAGCTTTAAAATAATGTTTTTAGCCCTTTATAAACTTTAATTTAATCCAGGAAGGGCACAGGCAAGAACTCTCTAGGGGCTGTGGCACCTTTCTTTTGCATATATGGTTTGTGGAATGTAGGGTCTTTAGACTAAACAGGATGTTCAAACTTTACATGATGAAAGTTGCAGAGTATTTTAGAGGAGAAATCTAAAATAGCACGCTGAACAATGAATGGTTTAGATTAAATCAGCAGGAGAGTGTAAGCTGACAGCTGTATATGAAATTCCACTTCTTCAAGTGCTAGCATTCAGAAATTTGTTTGTCGGCTCTGTGTTGATAGAAGTTTTGGATCCCAAATGCTCGTCTCTGTAAAATAACTGTAAAATATTTCCTCTACCAAATGATGAAGTAGTCTTATTCAAGTCTCTTGAACACAACAAGTGGAGGTCCCATCCTTAGCTCCCTCAAGCTCTGACAGTTCAAACTACTTCCCAAGAAAATAAGCTATTCACCAGAATAGACAATAAATTAAGTAGGAGCACTGCTTACCTCTTGTTTGATATAGCTTAGTCTAAACACAAAGTAATGCTGGTTTCATTAGGACAAAGAAAGACCATATAGGTTTGATTAAGTAAGTCATTAGGACACTACCCTGAGGGAATCTAGCCCAGATTCTGGTTCTCCCCCTCAAATGATTTTTTTTTTTTTTATTTCATCCTAAAATCAATAGAAAAGAAAAACAAACAAAAAACCAAACAAAAACCCTTGCATGTTCTTAGAAAAGCGGCTACCAAGAAAAGGATAAAGGACGTAGTAGATGGAAAAAGCACCATTTAAATAAGTCTTTATAAATAGCTGTGCAAAACACTCTTTCCATACTAAATAAGCGGGGCTTTTGTTTATTCAGTATTAAACTAACCTGTATTTGGTGATGCAGTTTACAAAACAAAATTTAAGGGCAGAACCTCAGACAAGCAAAGTGATGGTACTGTGAAAGACATACTGTCTTCTCATTCTTAGGAGCAGGGACTTTGGTCATATTTTTGGCCATTCACTGGTACTTTAACTTTTAACAGGCTGGTTTCCCTTCTTAGGTTTCCTGATCTGAAGGATTGGGACCCAGAAAATGAATATGAAACAAAAAGCTATTTGCATTTAAAAAAAAAAAGAATAAGCTTATATGGTTGTAAATATTTGGGGTTTTTTTGAAATCCTTCAGCTCATATATATGCTTCTTAAAAATACATATTTTGGAAGCAAACGTTATAATTGTGTTATGATGCCAGAGACCAATAAAATGACCATCAATTACTAATAAAATAAAACCAGAAGTGAATAAATATTTTCTAATGAATATGCAGTTATCATCTGGATGAAATGTGCTTGTCTAAGAAAGTTCTAGGTTTCGCTACTATAAATGATGGAATGTACTGCTTCATAGCATGAGTTTGTATTAAGCATCTCATAATAGATTGTCCTAATTGTTATCTGTAGTTAATTTTTTTCTATGTTATTGCAGCTTATGGAATCCATAGTGTTACCATGTCTAACACTCTTACGCAAACTTGTATATGCTGATCCAGTTGTTCGTCTGTCCCTAGCACAGCAATCATCTTTACTGCTGTTGCTATTCCGAGGTAAAGATTCTATTTTGACTTTAATATATACATGGAAAGAAAATGTGTGAAATATGGTTAGAAGTTTAACCAAAAGCCTTAAGAAGTGTGGATCACTTCAGAATCTCTAATATTTAAAAGATAAATAATTGTGTGCTAGTGTTACCCATGTTGTGGCATCTGTTGAAGTTATTGGCAAAATGACTGTGGAAACCAGTTGTTTTTAACGGGTGTCCTTCTATGTATTATTAAATGTCAATGTTTTCCTAACACATTTTTAAATATCTTTATTTTATTCAGTTTCCCTGATATTCCAAAATGATCGTGCTGTTTTAAATAAAACTACAGTATTGCTTTGTCTTCTGTTGTTTGATGAAGTAGTAACAACAGAAACGTGGTATGAAAAAAAGTTATTTAATGGCATATTCTCTAGTCAAAATTTAAGGTTTTAATGAAAATAAGTTTTTATATATATTCAAACAAATTATACCCCAAACTTTTATATATCCAAAATTGCATATTTATAGGCCAAATTGTTTCAATATTTGGGTTGCATGCTGTATAGGTCTACTTGGCATATTTGTGCAGCATAAATACTTTGTACCTCAGTGTTAATTTTAAGTTTACTTTAATTTTCGAAGAACCCTGATTGGTCTGTAATCCATCTTTTCCATAAATGGAAACTACACAAATCAAATAGCTAGCTGTAGGCATGGGGGTTTATTAACTTATTTAAAAAAATATGCTTTTAGAATTCGCACACATGAAATATACTGAAAAGAACTATGATGCATATTTTTTCTCTAATAGAAAAAAGGAAACAAGCATGTGCTTTGGTATGTTATCTTTAATTTTTATGTGCAGTACATCTGCAACAAGTATTCTGTATGTGTGTGACCTAAGAACTATCTTAATATTGCATAATCGTGAAGAAACATTGTTTATTAATACAAATTATTCATCAATGGGTTACTAAAGAGCTGGCTGGAAGAAAAAATACAGCTATATCTGAATAATAAAGAAATATTAAGTGTAGCAATAGTAGAAAATCGAAGCTTAAAAGAGGGAATAATAACTATAACTTAATCTCTTGCAGGGCTGATGGCATAACCAGTAATGTTACTAGCCTACCTGCCTTCAGTTTACCTGTTGCTGTTGTTAGAAGGTATGTGTGAGTGGGTTTGTTTTGTTTTTTTTTTTTTTTTTACAGTTAACTTTGCTTCTTTCCATTTGCTGTCCTTCCTGAAGTATGGAGGTGGGAGAATGAAGAGAAACATTTGATGTTAAATCCAAAGTTGTCTGAATTTTTAAAGATGGAGTTTTTTCTCCAAGTCTTTGTTCTCTGAAAAAGAGTTTCAAAAACTTTTTATTTGCAAATTTAAAAGCTTGCTGTAATAGAGCATTTAATTTAAAAAAAAACCAAACAACAACTTTTTAAATTTATTTATTTATTTATTTTAGGTATCATCTCCCAGTCAGAATCACTGCTCATCATGTAGTTAGCCCTAATACTGTTGTGGTGCCATTGTCTTCTGAGTGTTTGACTATGAAACCTGTGTCAGATATGCTTAAGATGGCTTGGAATCTGTCGTGGTACCATGGGATTGAAAACCTATTGCAACCAATAAATTATGAGAAGGAAGCAGAAACGTAAGCCATTTTATTTTGATTTTAAATCCCAATATATTTCAGTTAAATTAGTGTTCCATCAAATTTAAATAGGTTTTCAACTTCAAACAGCAGTTCAAGTTGTTACTGGTTTGAGAATGCTGTCTTCTTAAACGTAAAGGATCACATCCCAAGAGGCTGTAGATATGTTGTCACAGCTAATGTTTTACCTAAATTGCATTTATACATGAAATCTAGAGCTTGACCCAACTTTTATTGGTGGTCAGACTCATTTCAAACAATTTTAAATGGGCTCTGTGACTGTTTTTTCTTTGTAGTCGTTGTGGTTTTTTAGGGAGCTGCCTCTTTCCCCCTTTATAGTTGCATGGCTTACTTTTTCTCTTCTCTTTCTTTCCTTGGCAATTTAAATTTCAAATAATTATTATTTTTAATGGTAATACTAAGAATCATGATAGATAATGAAGAAAATTCACTTTACATCCTTTGAATAGCTCTTGATTAAGCATCATTTCTCTCTTTGAGACTATTTTATTTATAGAACGCAATGTCTTAGAAGATCCTTGATATAATAGGACTGAAATGCTTGTATCATCCTTGATAAATAGGACTGAAATGCTTGTATCTGTATCTCTGTCCATCTCAACAATTTTTCAGTTTTGGCTTGTGTCCTTTAAGGGGTCCTACAAGTTTTATTAGTAAATAGTGTTGTTCTGAGCCATTGGAAACTTTGCAGTTTCAAATCAAAATGATTTGATAAATCATTTTCATTTTAAGTTCCCTCAGGCAAAAAAACCTCAATCTCTTAAAAAGAAAATAGGAAAATAGTGTAGTCCAAGTGGCCAATATTCAGAATAGCGTGGAGGAAAAGTTCGTTACAAACTATGTGAAGAGCACCTTTCAAGTAACTTTGAGAGGTGCCATTTTTCCCAAGAACCCAAACGGCTCAGGATTTAAATGTGGTTGGGTTGTTACTGTTGTTGGGGTTAGGTTTTTTTGGGAGAGGGCGGAGGAAGAGAAAGGATTGGTTAATAAAAATAAATTTTTAAGGCAGTTTATGTTTTGTTTTCTCATTTGAACTGGGAAGTGAAGGAGTCAGCACTCACTGAAATAGTTTGTAAAGGTACTGGCTGTTAATGATTTTTCTCTTATGCCTTTTCAGATTTTTAGACTCGCTAAAACTATCCTCAGAAGACATTCTTATACTCAAAATAACTCACACAAACTATGGACTGCAGGATTGTCTTAATTCAATCATTCAGGCAGTATCCCACAGGGATGTTAGGGCTGCTCTCACTAGGCTTAGTTTTTACGTTCTGAATGACAGACTTGGATTAAAATGCAGTTCTGGGTCTTGTGGAACCACTTTGAAAAGCTTTGTTTGGCAAAAAGCAATAAACAGGTAAGCATATTGACTACAGAAATCCATTAGAGATTATGATGCTTAAATTGTAAATTTCCTAGTTTTCCTATTTTCATATTTATGGAATTGATTGTCCATGCACCTCTGATTCTGATACATATATGTTGTTCCCTCTATCTGCTGGAGGGACAACACAGCAGAGCGTAAGCGGTCCAGGAGATTCCTGGAGAGCAGCAGTGACAACTTCCTGATCCAGGTGACAGAAGAGCCAATGAAGAGAGGTGCTCTGCTGGACCTCATGCTCACAGACAAGCAAGGTCTCATTAGGGATGTGAAAGTCTAAGGCAGCTTTGGCTGTAGTGACCATGAGGTAGTAAAGTTCAGGATCCTAAGAGGAGGGCAAAAAGTAAGATCACAGTGCTGGACGTCAGGAGAGCAGACTTTCACCTCTTCAGAGATCTCATTGTTTAGTGTCTGATGGGATGAGGCACTGGAGGGAAGAGAAGCCCAAGAAAGCTGGTTAATATTCAATGATCACTGCCTCCGAGCACAAGAGCGGTTCACGCCATTGAGCAGGAAGTCAGGCAAAAATGCCAGGAGGCCTGCACGGATGAACAAGGAGCTCCTGGCAAAACTCAAACACAGAAAGGATGGCTACACAGGGTGGAAATAGGAACAAGTAACTCGGGAAGAATATAGAGACACTGCCCAAGCATGCAGATTTGCAGTTAAGAAAGCCAAAAGCCCACCTGGAATTGAATCTGTCAAGGGATATCAAAGGCAACAAGAAGGGCTTCTATAAGCGCATAGGCGACAAAAGGAAAACTAGGGATAATTTGAGTTCACTGCTGAATGGGGCAGGGGCCCCAGTGACACAGGACATGGAAAAGGCTGAAGGTCCTGAATTCCTTCTTCGTCTCAGACTTTACTAGCAAGATCAGCTTTCAGGGATCCCAGGTCCCAGAGACCAGAGGGAAAGTCTGGAGCAAGGAAGACATACCATTGGTGGAAGAGGATCAGTTTAGGGAATACATAAGCAAACTGGATGTATATAAGTCCATGGGCCCCGCTGGGATGCACCCATGAGTGTATCCTGACTGATTTAGTTTCTTGTCCACTTTAATCAATCAAGGTGATTGGGAGAGGTGCCTGAGAATGGGAGGAAAGCAAATGTCACTCCTATCTTCAAGAAGGGCAGGAAGGAGGACCCAGGGAACTACAGGCCAGTCAGCCTCACCTTGATCTCTGGGAAGGTGATGGAACAGCCAAACCTGGAAACCATTTCCAGGCACATGAATGACAAGAAGGTCATCAGGAGTAGTCTGTATGGCTTCACCAAGGGGAAGTTGTGCTTGACCATCCTGCTGGTACCCTTCTAAAATGAAGTGACTGGCTTGGTAGATGAGGGTAGAGCAGTGGATATTGTCTACCTTGACTTCAGGAAGGAAGGCTTACACTGTGTCCTGTAAGATCCTTGTAGAGAAGCTGATGAGATATGGGCTGGATGAGTAGACAGTAAGATGGACGGTAAACTGGCTGAACGGCCGGGCCCAGAGGGTGGTGATCAGTGGTATGAAGTCCAGCTGGAAGGCAGTAACTAGCAATGTGCCCCAGGGATCACTATTGGGTCCAATCCTGTTCAACGTCTTCATTAATGATTGGGATGATGGGGCCAGAATGCACCCTCAGTGATTTTGCTTATGTTACAAAACTGGGAGGAGTGGCTGATACACCAGAGGGTCGTGCTGCCATCCAGAAGGACCTCAACAGGCTGAAGAAGTGGGCTGACAGGAACCTGATGAAGTTCAACAAGGGGAAGTGCAAAGTCCTGCGCCTGGGGAGTAGCATCCCCATGCACCAGTATATGCTGGGGTTCACCAAGCTGGAAAGCAGCTTTACAGTAAAGGACCTGGGGATCCTGGTGGACACCAAGCTGAACTTGAACCAGCAATGTGCCCTTGCAGCAAAGAAGACTAACAGTATCCTGGACTGCACTGGGAGGAGTGCTGCCAGCAGGTCAAAGCAGGTGATCCTTCCCCTTCACTCAGTACTGGTGAGGCCACACCTGGAGTGCTGGGTCCAGTTCTGGGCTCCCCAGTACAAGAGAGACATGGACATACTGGAGAGAGTCCAACGAAGCACCACAAAGATGATGAAAGACTGGAGCATCTTTCCTATGAGGAAAGGCTGAGAGATCTGGGACTGGTAAGTCTGGAGAAAAGAAGACTCAGAGCGGGGAATCTTATCAATGTGTACAAGTACCTGAAGATGGAGCCAGGCTCTTTCCAGTGGTGCCCAGTGACAGGACCAGAGGCAATGAGCATGCACTGAAACACAGGAGGTTCCCTCTGAACATCAGGAAACACTTTTTTACTGTGAAGGTGAGCAAGCACTGGCACAGGTTGCCCGGAGAAGTTACGGCATCTCCATCCTTGGAGATACTCAAAAGCTGCCTGGACATAGTCCTGAGCTACCAGCTCTAGGTGTCCCTGTGTGAGCAGGGGGGTTGGACCAGGTGACCTCCAGAGGTCACTTCCAACCTCAATGATTATGTGATTCTGTAATTTATGTACACAAAACTAGCAAAAAATAAGAACGCTATATTTAAGATGAGGATTATTTAAAATGCATGGTAGGCTTTGCTGCTATTATTAATTGCTAGTATTTAATAGCCAATTACCTTTTTTCTTTCCTGTCTGTGGCCCTGTTAAGATTTTTCTACCTTTTACTGTATGCAATTCCATGTTTACTGTATGTAAATACACCTTTTAATATACATAACAATTTTATAATAATACACAAGAAATGTATAATAATATATAGTAATATAGTCCAAATTTTATGTAAAAGTATTCAAATATATGTAACTTAATTTATATAATAGGTATAATATAATTAATATAATTCCATATTTGTTATATGTAAGTATATGTAATATACATATTAACTGTATATACTCTATATAATTCCACATTTGCAGGTGACCAGTCCTATTAGGCTGAGATCTTAAACTCTCTTTTAATGTGCTACAAGTACGAAAGTAAATATTTTTGTTTGCATTTCAGGTTTCTGCAAGTGCTTCCAGCTTCTGTGGAGGATGAGAAGCTTTTGGTAGATGTCTTAAGATTTTTAAACAAATTGCTTAGAGAGCAGAGATCAAGTTTGGAGTCAGACGATCTGAAGTGGATTCTGAAATCATTGCTTAAAAATGTAAGAATATACCTAAGAAGTTAGCTGTAGACTGTAAGAAATGATATAACTGTGAACTGGTTGGCTGGTTTGCTTCTGGTGAGTTCCTTGAGGAAAACGACTTCTCTCAACAAAAGCAAGAAATAGCAGATCTTGTGGTATTAACGTCAGTTACTTTGTGGTCAGTGCTATGGTTTTAGTGTTTGGGGAAGTTAACTTTGAACAAGAGTAAATTTCCTTCTCTCCTTTACTTGGTATGTGAATTGTTTCTCCAAACTCAAATATTGTATTTGCCAGAAGCAAGCAACATCTACCTGTGTGTATCTTGCTCTGGTAAAGTTAACTATGGTAATATGGTTGTATAGAGCCATATAACTATAGTTAGCTATGCATAGCTCTATATGTACATATAACTATATATACTTGTATGATATGGTTAACTTTGTAACTGTACATACATATGTGTGTGCATACATATACAGCTGTATAAGGTATACTTAGCTACATAACTACATATGTATTATCTGTGTAACTTAAAGAATGAGGTTCCATACAGGTGTGTTGGAACCTTCTGTTTGGCAAAGAGATATAAATGAACATTATCTGTCTTGCATTAAGAACAAGAATTGAAAGTTAGGACAGAAGTTTTTGCTTTCAGTGTGTCTGTCACTTAAGTTTTGATTTTAAATGGTTATAATATGTCTAAAATATTTTTATAAGCATGAGGGAGGTATTATATGAGTGTACAGTTAAGTTGCTGTAGTTAAAATGCCTGTATAATATTGAAATAATGTATTTTTTTCTTTTCAGTTTTTCTAGAGTCCTGTGCTTTTTATTTGAGAGATCCATTCTATCCGATACCGTTCATTTAAGATGTGTAAAATTGGAAAGTACAAAAACAAATAGGAAATTAACATCTTAAAGCAGTATAAGACAACTTTTATTGTATTTGTCAAAATATAATAATTCAATCTTGCTGTATAAAAACATTAGTGAAATGCCAAGGATGAAAGTGATGGCTGCAGTTTTAGAAGTTTGCAAAGTACTGTTCTTCACAAAGCAAGGGCATACTGCCCACATGCAAGATCGTTCATGGTCTTACAAATGATATCATGTTAAGTACAGTCTGCATGCACTTGCATTTTCCCATTTTAAAATACAATCTAAACACTTAGGGGGAAAAAAAAAAAGCTAGTAGACTTCATTTCAATTACTTATAGAATTCAGGTGCTTCAATTTTTATGGCTAACTGGGAATCCTATAAAACTTTGTAAGTATGGCCCATTCAATATATTAATATAAAATCTTTATATCAAATGATTTTAAGTCTTTCAAGCAACTGAGACATACAAGATACATCTTGAACTAATATTTCTACAATGTGTTTTCTGGTTTTTGTGATCTATTTTTTTATTGCAGGTTATTGCTGTATATAACTTTGACTTTTCTTTCATGCTTCAAAATACACTGTATCATGGCTTAATGCCAGGAAATTTTAAAGGCCTAACAGTAGATTCTTTTATGGTGTTTAGTAGATTCAAGAATCAAGTAATTGCTAATTACAGCAATTTTTTAATGTGCTTTTTACAGAAATACTTCTTAGTAAAACGATCATGGAATTTGGAATTTATAATGTGTGTTATTTTCAAGCTCTCAACAGAAAAATGGCTTTAGTGTGGGTATTAAAATAGGATTTAAACAATGCATTATGTAACTGTATTTTTATTCTTTTCTTTTAGAAGCCAAAATCCCTTTTGGGCCTCCTGGTGCGACCAGAATTGCAAGGGCGGGATGAAATAGATGAAATACAGACTGCTGTCAGGCAGCAACTGGATAAAGAACTCATTCGTCTTTTTAACACATTGTTATTTTGTTCCATGTCACTGACTGACAGGTACAGTGTAAATGGACCTGCACATGTAACTCTGACTGGGATCATAATACCTACTGCTGCTGTATCTCGGTCAGAATTTGAATATAATTACATCATGACTCAATCATTTTAAACTGCAAAAATGGAATATACTCCTTTTGAAGTGAAGATTAACATTAGATAGGCCTTTTCACAGTAAAATTAGGAAATTAACTAGGAAACTTGGAAGAGTATGTGCTAGTGGTCACTTCTTCAGCAAATGGTAATAAAACTGATTGCAGGGAGAAGATGGGTTATTTCTTTTTCACTGCTGGAAATTTGCACAAGCAAATGATAACTTGGTTGATTTTGTAGCATTTATTTATAGCAAAGTAAAACATTGAAATATTTGAATATCAACAAATGTTTATTTTCATTGAACTCCTTTTTGGCCTAATACAGTATGTCAGTGCACATTAGTGATTGTTTAGGACAGCTACTTCCAGAATGAAGTTACAACCTTTTCCTGTCAATCAAGGAAACACAGAAATTAATTTCTGTTAGTTTTTTTCTCTGAGTTTCTAATATAACGTCTTCCCACACTAAATCTCTCTGCCCAAGTGTATTCTAAGAGATACTAAAATTGCAGCTTAAGATAATACTTGTTTATTTAAGTGCCACAACATAACTGTTTGTAAAGATACTTTCAAAATGTTACCTTCTTCATTCTTCCCACGCAGTTACTCATTTTCTAAAAATTTTGACAGCTGGAAAAGGGAGAATTTTAGAAATCCCTGCTAGTTATATTTCACACTCCTGTATTTTCTATCTACCTGAGTTCTAGATCGATAGTATTTTGCAGGAAATATTTTTAAACTTGTCTCTTGAACCAGGACAAACATACGCGTAGCTACTAAGCTTTGCAGCTCTTCTCGTTATGTTATCCATCATCTTCAATCTCTCGCTCTTTATTTAATATGCTCCTTAATAGTTGGAGTTATCTCATTTATCTTTTCTTGGTTAAGCAGCCCTGTTATAATCAGATGCAATATTATGCTTTCAGAATCTGGGTGAAGCTAGAATTTGATTCCATGTTATTCTGTGCATAAGGCAATAGTGACTAATTGAGATGCTGAGACTCACAGACTAGTGTAACAGTAAGAAGAATGAGGCATTGACATCTTGTAAAATGATTCATTATAATAACTTCATGTTGACAGTTGATTTTTTTTTTTTTTTTTTTTTTTTTTAAAACAATTAAACCAGAGAGGGCTTGGAACTTGCTGGCTCTTTCAGAACCGAGCTGGCTCTGAAGCTGCTACAATGCTTAAGGCTAACAGATGCACCACATTTTTACGGACTTCCTTCACTGGAGAGAACATTACGAGGAATGGTTCATGTTACTGCACTTCCAGACTGGAGTACCTATTCTGCTGCAGTTGAACCTGTCACAATTTGTAAGAAATATTTAACAGGTCTTCTTGAGGTAAGTAGCTTATGTTATAACTTAGCTTTTGGTTTGAGTGCTTGTAAAGAACTGTGTAACCAATGACATTATAATTTTTAGGATGTACTTTTACTGAATATCATCATTAGGAATAGGTGTTGGAAAGATGCTTTTTTCTGCTAAGTAAATAGCAAAAGTATGGAGACTAGATTGAGCGATGTGTATCTGTACTTGTGAAGATTCATTGTATTGTGTGTGCCTTCATCCGCTGTTTAAGAGGTAATACAAAGTGACTGTAGTTTAAGCAAGATGAAAAATAGATGTGGTTTTTTTAATAACTGAAATGTTAAGAGGAAAAATCCAAGACATTCTCCCACAGGCAAAATCCATGTGTGAAAGGTGGTCTGGGGGAACAGTAATGTGTTAGGCAGGTTATTAACACAGAGAAAGCAGAAAAGAGGTAATTCAAGATGCTACAGTTGTTGGGAAGCCAAAATTTCGTTCTTGTTTTCAGTGTTCTTATTTGTTTGCTAAGTCCACGGATATGATAGACAACTAGTTTTTGCTCCTAAAATTACATCTTTTGAAAACTCCAGTTGTCTTAAAACTGTAGGAAAAGCATAGATCTGGCTTTCTGATTGTTTTACCGGTATTGAGTAAGGTAGGTACATTTAGAAGTTTTCTTTTTAGATTCAAACACTAAAATCTATTTGTTGCATTGGTTGAAAAAGTTTTAAAGTAGTTTTAATTCATTTGTGATTCTGAATGTTATGAATAGCAACCAGATAAGTGTCCAGAAAGTTTGTATACAGATGATAATCATGTTTGTGATAAAAAAAAGATGTTGTGTTTTAGGGGGAAGTCTTAACTTGCCAAGATTTCTTGAGTAGAAATACATATTTTTAGAGCTATTTGATTAGATGAGTTCTGTGGTTTGAAGTCTAGACTAAAAATGGCACCAAGGTTATAGCTGTTGTCATGCAAAAGAAAGATTATTACTGGACAAAATCATAATAAATATTATGGAATGAAATCAACTAGTAATGCATAAGCTGTATGTGCAGAAGAATTACACAGTTTTACTTGGCCTAAATATGAAAGTAAATGTAGGTTTCTTTTTGGGGGGGCGGGGAGAAAGTGGGCTTGAAAGAATTCCTGTAGAGTGGGACACTGAAAGAAAGAACAGCAGCAAAAATGGAGAGGTTTAAATTGCCATACTTTGGGGAGAAAAACACATCTAGAAGTGTAAGTCTTAAGATTATAGTTTTTTTAAAAATGAACATGTTTTGTTGAAAGCAGCATGCTTTTTATTTTAGCATGTATGGTTAGATATTTGGTCAGAGAGTTTATTTTACGTTATGATCCAGTGACCTTTATTGCTGTTCATTAGAATTTGATATAGAAAGGTGATACATTTATTGCAATTCAAATCACAATAAAAGATATAAATGACCCTTTTTCTTGAACACAGAATTTTGAAAATAAACTATATTTTTAATTCCAAAAATAGCATAAAAAACTTGGTACAATAAATGGACTGATTCCATCAAAACCAAACTTTCAGGTTTTTATTCAATGTTGTGCTTGTTATTAAGCTCAACTGCATTCTTTATTTGAAGAAGCAAATAAAAAACACTGATCTTCAGAAGTTTAACCATATAGGAAACCATATCATGGCCAAATGACTCATAAATAAATAAATTCTTAAAATTCAGCTAAAAATGTGTCATGAGTTTAAATTATAATTTAGTAGTGTGTAAGACAGTTTGTACTCTACCTGTATACTGCTTACAGTAAAGCTACCATGAATTTGTACCCCCACTCCTAGGTCATCTCATCGTTTTATGTTGAATGGGGAGGAAACGCTATGTCCTTCATGGGAAAAGGTGTTACGAAAAGCACAGTTCTTTGCTTGCTTCACTTATCTCATGAAATGATGTCTCAAGCCAAGGATACGGTGAGTGCATTGCAGTTGTCCTTACGTTGTCATTTGTGAGGGCTATGCACAGATATATTTTAACTGCTAAAGTTAAATGACAGATTTTTGTATGTGGTGGGGGAAGATGTCTTATATGGCAACAGATAATAAAAAATAATCTGGTAATCTCATTTGGTATGTAATGTTAGATAAATGAATAGGATAGAGTATAGTATACAAGAAAGCTAAAGATTCAGTTCTAGCGTTACTGAAATTATTCTGCAAATAATTATGTAGATTTAGAAAGGCCTTCTTTCAGAATAAGGTATAGTTTTCTTTTTATAAAAAATGAGAAATCAGGATTGTATGTAGGATTAATAAATTTAAGGATTTTAACATCATTATTTCTTCAGCCTTGTACAGATAACAGGTTTTCTAACATATGTTTACACATACGTCTGTGTATTCTTTCACTTGTGTGTGTATATAGGGGAGAGCTATGGATGTCATCTATCTGGACTTCTGTAAGGCCTTTGACATGGTGCCCCACAACATCCTTCTCTCTAAATTGGAGAGATATGGATTTGATGGGTGGACTGTCCGGTGGGTGAGGAATTGGTTGGATCGTCACATCCAGAGGGTAGTGGTCAATGGCTCAATGTCCAGATGGAGATCAGTGACAAGTGGTGTCCCACAGGGGTCCATATTGGGACGGGTCCTGTTTAATATCTTCATCAATGACATAGACAGGTGGATTGAGTGCACACTCAGCAGACGACACCAAGCTGAGTGGTACGGTTGACATGCCTGAGGGATGGGATGCCATCCAGAGGGACCTGGACAAGATGGAGAAGTGGGCGCATGTGAACCTCATGAGGTTTAACAAGGCCAAGTCCCAGTCCTGCACCTGGGTCGGGGCAACCCCCAGTATCAATACAGGCTGGGGGATGAAGGGAGTGAGAGCAGTGCTGCTGGGAAGGACTTGGGGGTACTGATGGATGAAAAGCTGGACATGAGCCAGCAATGTATGCTCGCAGCCCAGAAGGCCAATCGTACCCTGGGCTGCATCAAAAGAAGCGTGGCCAGCAG